TTTCTGAATGTGAACATATTTGAAAATTTGCATGAACATCAATTTGATAATTTGCCTAACAATTGTAATCATTTAATAGAACTTGTAAGGGCTGAATGTGAAAAGTATATCGATGTACGAATAAATCATGAAGTCAAATTATTTAATTCGGTAAAATCTACGAAAAGGCAAATATTAAATAAATTAATATTATTTAGAGGACAATAAATATATTTAAATTATTTTGTAGTTTTATTTAATATGACACTAAAATATACTATTTTCTGAATTACAAACTTAAAATTGAATATTTGTCATAAGATGCAATATAATGTTCAATATGTAATAAAAATATAACTTAATCCGAATCTGCTTAAAGATGCGCGCGATAAGATTACCTTCCACACTCCACTTCCCCGGATTTTGCATTCACTGGTACCCGTGCATTGGATTGGAATTAGATACGGCCAGTCTAGGTGGTCTGTGAACTGCGTCAATATTGTAGAAAAACGCTCATACCCGTCGATTTTAGATTAAAAGGGGACATTCTTTGCTGGTATTTTTGACTCCGCCATTTTCACCCCCCAGCAAGGGTAAGCATCACCCCAAAATATTTAAATGGCATTGGGGGTTGAGTAATATTTCTTTTGACAGCTCTTACAATTCTCTTTACAACAGACTTTAAAGTTTATAATTCCGCCCAATACTTTAAGAATTTTGATTTTAAAGTTGAAACTTATGTACAAATAATTAGTAACAGTAAAAATGTCAGTCATTCGAGTTAAAATATGCCAATGGTGTTAGTATTTCTTGCGTTACATTGGTTTTTGGCGATTTGTTATCACTTTCGTAAAAAAAAACACAATTGTAAAAAACAGAAATGAATGCTATACACACAATGAACGTAAAATTAGTGGATTCCAAATTATTTTCTAGTATTATTTGGATGCGTTGGTTGGTAGTTTATTTAATTGTGTTTTTGAAAATTAAACACTATGGTTTATGCCATTGCGGAAAGGGTAGATATCATTTCGCTTTACTTTATGAACAATAAATGTGCGAATAGAACAGCTCAGCTATTTAATGAACAACATCAAGATCGACATGTCAGGAGGAAGTATGTTATAGAGTTACTAAAAAAAATTCAAGAGACAGGGAACGTAGCCAATAAAAAATGAGAAATTGAAAAACCTATAGTTAATGAAGCTATTGAAGTTGCAGTTTTGGGACAAGTTCATCTTGATCCTACATTAGTACGAGGCAGCTGGCATCTGTGTCTGAGATCAATCGAACTAGAATACAAACCATTTTGAAGAGGAATAAATTCCATTCATACAAAATACATTTAGTCCAGGAACTTCATGAGGATGATTATGACCGCCGTTTGCAATTTTGCTAAATAATGAGTGAGCGAGCAGGGAACGATACACAGTTCCTTTTTAACATCTGTTTTTCTGATGAATGCAGTTTTTTCTTGAACGGGACGGTAAATCGTCACAATTGCCGCTATTGGTGCGATTCAAAACCAAGAGTTTTTCACGAGGTGCATACACAGCCACCGGAAAAAATAAATGTATGGGCTGGAATTTTCGGTGACCGGCTGGTGGGTCCTTTTTTTCTACCAGGTAATTTGACTGGCTAAATGTATTTGCAATTACTGGAAGACGCTATTGACCCTACCTTGACTGATATTATTGAAAATGTTCCACAGTATGATGAAGATCATTTGATTTTTCAACAGGACGGTGCTTCTCCGCATTATGCGTTAATTGTCCGTCAGTATTTGGACCAACGTTTTCTACGGATTTGGATTGGGAGAAGAGGCAGCATTGAGTGGCCTCTACGATCACTGGATTTATTGCCCCTTGATTTATTTCTTTTTGTGGGCATACCTAAAAAGTAAAATCTATAAAACACAGCCAGGGTCGCTGGAAGATTTGCGTCAAAGAATCGTCGACGAATACCGTCGAATCACTCCGGAAATGCTTCGGAATGTGCGCGAACGTTTCGAAGAAAATCTTTATTCTTGTATGGAAGCGGGTGGTCGTCAGTTTGAACATTTAATCAACTAAGTAGTAAGTAAGCAACTAAACATAATTTAAATTTTAAAATGTAAAATTTTTCAAAGTATTGGCGGAATTATAAAATTTGAAGTCCGTTGTAAAGAGAATTGTAAGAGCTTACAAAAGAAATATTACTCAATCCCCAATGCCATTTAAATATTTTGGGGTGATGCTTACCCTTGCTTGGCGGTGAAAGTGGCGGAGTCTGAACGTTTTTCTACAATCTTGACGCAGTTCCTGAAAATGGCTCTGTTTCGTTTTCATTTGGCCACCCTGTATATGCAATTTCATGTATGTGGTCGAAGTATTCGATGTTGAAGGCTACTATAAAGGTCTACAAAAATATAGGAGTCTACATCTAATAAACTTGATATTGCAAGGAAAATCCGAGGAAAATATAGCTGTTCCTTATAAGAAGAGACATTCCGAACTTGTGCAAATTCTTCACAATCTTCGGCAGATGTTATGTGTTCCGAAAATGGCAACAATGCTACAAGGGTTGTTATTAACGGAAAGGAAGTTAAATGTGATAAAACAAAAAACGAAATGTCTATTACTATAAATGTAAATGTTAATGTTAATGAGTAAATAAATTAAATTTGATTTATTATAGGTTTATTATTTTATTAAGTTATGTACTTTATTCCACTAGTGGATAAAGTATCACTTTATACGGTTCATATATGTGGATAAAAGTCCGATTATAAGGTGATTTTAATTTTGCATCATCATCTGCATACGTAACAGAGAGTTTTCAACCATCTGTAGATACGTTATCGAATATTATTTTAAATTAAATGAGAATAGAAAAAGTTCGAAATTGTAATCATACAAATTTATTGATAAATTAGAAAGATCTACAGTGACGTTTTGAGAGATATCTTAATTTCACAGTAAGTTTATAAAAAATAGTAAACACTTTAAGCTTTGGATAATGTAAAATCCAAACCGAGATCTCAACCATTACAAGATGTTCAGATGTTATCGACATTTTGTTAAAAGAAAAAAAATACATGCAAACGATTTTCCTTTGTAGTTAATTGCACAGATAACATCAAAGATACGGTAGGAGTGGATATGAAATAAAATCGGTCTTAATGACTGATGTAACGGACATTTACTATTATTTGATGTGACTGTGAACTTCCATTTCCATACAATGAAGAAAGGCACCGGCTTAGCTATCAAGAAAGGTAAATAGTTAAAAGTTTGTGCAAATATAAAAATTCTTTACATCTTTTAAAAGAATATATAGTAAAGTTTAAAGATTTGTATTTTTAAAATTGCTAAAACAAATAGTTGGTATAATTAGTTAACACTGATTTTATTTCCCGAAAAATTTATGAATCTTAACGAATTATAAATTTAATTACCGTAAGTTATTTGTTTTTTCTCTGCTGTTGGGTATTTTGCCAATTGTGAAAAATTTAAAAATTTAACAATGATAATAATAATACGCTGTTTATTTTTATAATTTTTCAAACTTCTTTTAATGCCTATTTGGAAATAAAATATAAGTGTATATTGAAGATGTTTCCAATTATTAGTAGATAGGTACTCCTGCACACTGTCCGGATGTGCGAGTTCTATATTCGCGAACACGAAGCGAATGTAAATATTGCAAACTGACATTCACTAATCCGAATTCGAAAGCAAATGTTACCAAATAAAAAAAATAGGTAATTAAATTAAATGAAGAAGCTCTATTAATGTACCTAATAGTAAAATAGTAACAGATGGGAAAACAAGGTGTAACTTAAATACTTACATAAAAATAATTTTGAAGGTGATTCTCTGTCGTAAACAATCGTTAATATTCGATATAGAATGTTTTTAGTAAATATAAATTTTGCCTGTTCAAATATTTCTTAGGACAAACAGTGGTAAATATACAGGAGGATATAGCTGCTTAATACCTCTTAATATGGAATTTCGATTAGTGCATTTGATTTCTAATTGTATTTTGAAGAAAACATTTTCCATTCTATTTGGAAAATCATTTTTTCCATTTCCTAATTATTTATTATTGTAACTATTTTTTTTTTATAAAAAATGAGTTTATTACATTTGAATGTTTAGAGTAACTCTAAAGTTACTAATGTTTTATATAGGTGTTGTTACAAATAAGACTTTAAATATAACGTCGTCATTAAATGTTTATAAAAAGTTATTGCTGCAAAAACTTTAATTATTTTGTAAGATTTTTAATTAAAAAATTCAAAGCTAACGATTTTTTTAAAATTTTGACATTATAACAGTATTTATAACAAAAAAAGTATTATTTCTATAATAATAATAATAATAATAATAATAATGATAATGATAATGATAATGATAATGATAATGATAATGACCATAGTGTGACCATATAACAGAGGCATATTCTAATTTTGAACGGATAAAAGAATAATACATAATCATTAATGTTTGATTATTCTGAAAACTTCGACAATTCCTGATTACAAATCCTAACATTTTCAGTGAAGATAATACAGTTTCACAAATATGAGCGTTGAATGAAAATCGTTTAAAACGAGTTACACAGTTTTTGTAGGTTTATTTCGCTTTATTTCGCTTTATTAGATTTAAAAAAGAATATTAATAGTTTAAAACTGGTTCGTTTTCCAAATAAAATTAAAAGTTTTTCTTTGGATTACGATTTAGAATCCAACGCATTTATCGAATTTTGAAAATATTAGTGGTATCATATCTACGTATCCCCACCACCGGTTTACATAACTGTATAAAATTCAACGACTTTTGCCTTTGTCCCAAGTTTCATCAAACGAGGATAAACTCCAATACTTCTGAAAAAGTTATATTCCGCGAAAACATAGTGTATCTCGAAAATCAATCAAACAATTTATAAAAATATGTAGTTCGATATGGACTTAAATAATCATCTTCTTCAATATTCAAATATTTGATATTCAAAAAGAAAATTTTAAAATATATTGAGCATTAATTTGTAATTTATAAAATGAAAATCACAACTAAAAATATATACTTACTATTATGTATTTTAAAATGAAACACGTTTTCTTGCGAATCTCCAAAATTTTTATTACAGATTATTAAATTAAAGATGCACAAACATACTGTGCATATGAGAATGCTAACTTAAATTTCGATGCAAAAGAGGATATTTTATAATTAGGAGGACCACTGTTAGAAACTGTGGAATAAATATATTAGCGAGAATTCCTGTAAAATCATAAATGTGGAAACTACATAAATCTCCAAATCGACATATAGTTTAGTTACTAACATATATATAAATAATTGCACTAGAATGGAATTTCACAATGAAATTCAAAACTGTTTTAAAATTTCTTTTTTTTTTCAGAAAAAATTGTTAATTCATCCGTGAAATCATGAGTGTAATTATCCATACATATGTTGCTTCTGAGATGATAATTCATATAAAAAACATTTTGATTTTTAATGGAAACGGCTACTGGTATATTTAATAGAAAGTGCTGGCATTATGAAAGCATTTACTTTCGTGTATTACTTAACTTCTTTTCTGTTTTATTTGTTGTTATTTAAACCTCACAAATATTGTAAGTTATGAGATTACGGTGGCCATATATCTGGCCGAGAAATAGTCAAATTTCTGGCGTTTTTAGGTACTGAAATCCTGAAAAGTAAAACGTGTAACAAAAGTAAGCACAAAAATAAAATCCTTGGTGTTCTGTTTATTCATTGTTACTATTTAAATTAACTCAAATAAAATAATAACTAAAAAAGCGTTTCAAAAAAATTCGTTTGCTGCTATCCTAACCCCACATTTTAAGAATTATTTTCACGTACTTTAAATAAAAGTAAACAATTTTATACAGGGTGTTTCTAAAATAGGGTTCCAAACTTCTGCTGCGTTTATAACTCATTAAAATAAGCCAAAAAGTAATAATCAATTTTAATTTAAAAAATTAAAGTGGGTTATTCTGATAATGAGAAATAAAACATAATTAAACTGTATTGTTCAAGTGACAATAATGTGCAAGATTTCGGCAGGAATATCGATAAATTCGTTTTAGAGGTAGAATCCCGTCAACAAGCACTGTAAAAAAAGTTTGATAATAATGGATTTATTTTTAACACAATAAATAGTAAATTAAAGTATATTTTCAACTATATCGTTCACAATTACGGGCAAGCGGAAAAGTTGTAAAAATTGGTAGGTATTTTAATGTTATTTCGTTTTTAGGTGCTCTCCTTATGTTGTTACGAAGGTTAGTTATAAAAATAGTTATTTGTTATTTAAATAAGGACGTATTTTATTTATTTTAATGAATTTTTACTTTAAACGTAGGTATATTTTATCCCAGCAAATTTTGTTAATGTCAAAAGAAACAGAGGAAAAATCCTTTTGTATTTAAAGTTTTTTTTCTATCTTTAATGACTGAAGCTGTAAGTGAGTGTTAAAATACAAACAAAACCCTGTACTTACTTACATTCCACGACGTACTAGCAATCCACCTTGTATGTACTCGTAAATTAAATAAATGTATAAAAATTATGGCATCATCAAATATTAAAAAAATATATATTACAAGCTGTTTAAAAATCACTATGAATTTGTTTATTTGAAAATATATTTTCTGCAGTATTTCAATATCAAAAAATGAAAATAGTAGTAGCTAATTAACAAATTCATGATTCAATAACTTAACCATGATACCGCTGCAATATCAGACCATCGATCTGAAGTTCACTACATAGGTTTTCGTTGATCCTTAAAACATTTTACCAATAATAATTAATAAAAAAGTGTACAAAATAAATTCGAGCGTACACGTGACGACATTGATAAACAGTTGTTTATGCGTTGCTAGGATACGCGTAGGAATGCCGGCCGCTGCATTTCATTCTTCCTAAAATTCTGCTGGTGGTACTCTATCGGCCATTCGGAATTTTAAAACTGATGTACTATTCCAAGCGCCGTCTGGAGCGATAAGCTATATTGTCTGTGTAAACTTTGGGGGCGATCATGAAATGAAGTGAAGAAAAATACTTATTGTTAGATTTAATCGAGGCGTACAAAAATACCTCAATTTTGTAGGGTATATACACATAAACCTTTATATGTTCCTTTAATCCATCAATGAGGGCTCCACAAACTTCGGGTACAATGTTTCCAATAACTTGGAAATACGCAACCAGTATTGCAAACTTGTAAATAGGTATATCTCCACTTGCCAAATATCTCAGTCACAGCTAATCTGTCTTGCAATGAAATAGCTTCCCTAAATGTAGTATTTCTTTTTTGATCTTTGGGTCCCACTAGACTGATTATACAGGGTGGCCCAATTAGAACAGTTCACCTGAAATATTTTCAATACAGCAGGTTTTTCCGGAAAACCCCGAAACAGGTCGATTTTGCTCTCAAGGAGAGAATTAAAATTTGTTTGAAAACGTTTTTTTTTCGATTTATTTCACCGACACTTCCTACAGGTGATTTACATTAATTTTAAGGCAGAACAAAAAAATGCCAGCATGTCTGTTAGGGATTTGAACTACCTTTAAAATGATGTGCCACTTAGGCCCCCGTGCCATTTGAGATTGGGATAACCCTACATCCATGAATTTATGATCAAAAGATGTCCCCCTTGAAATCAAAATCGACCAGTTTCGGGTTTTTTCGGAAAAACCTGTTGCAATGAAAATATTTCAAGTATACTGTTTTAATTGGGCTACCCTGTATATTCAAAATCTGAAGTAGGTATACTTGCGTGTGAAATTTTTGTAATCTCCACTGATTGATTGAAATTTCAAATCTGAAAGTAAAGCAGAGCCGTTTCTTTCTTTGTATGTACAAAACATGTTTCCAAAATGTTCGTGGACGTTAATAATTTTCTGCTGTACCTAATAAGCAGCACTTGCTATCATAATAGATTTGTCTGGAGACGATATGTTTTTACAACGAACGCTCTTCGAACACTGCGGATAAAAATGTTTGTAGTACGATAAAGGCCTCACGTACACATTGTGAACCGATACTGTATCAGAGCAATACTTGATACAAATGCAGATATGGAGCTGAACTCACATAGGTAGAGCTTCTGTAACTACAATTCTGTTAACACAAAAGTATCAAATAGCTTCCTGGAAAGTAGTAAGTGTTATTGAAATGTTGGTTGGAAAATATTTTATTTACATACAGGGTGGCCAAATGAAAACGAAACAGAGCCATTTTCAGGAACTGCGTCAAGATTGTAGAAAAACGCTCAGACCCGTCGATTTGAGATTAAAGGGGGACATTCTTTGCTGGTATTTTTGACTCCGCCACTTTCACCCCCAAGCAAGGGTGAGCATCACCCCAAAATATTTAAATGGCATTGGGAGTTGAGTAATATTTCTTTTGACAGCTCTTACAATTCTCTTTACAACAGACTTTAAAGTTTATAATTCCGCCCAATACTTTAAGAATTTTGATTTTAAAGTTGAAACTTATGTACAAATAATTAGTAACAGTAAAAATGTCAGTCATTCGAGTTAAAATATGCCAATGGTGTTAGTATTTCTTGCGTTACATTGGTTTTTGGCGATTTGTTATCACTTTCGTAAAAAAAAACACAATTGTAAAAAACAGAAATGAATGCTATACACACAATGAACGTAAAATTAGTGGATTCCAAATTATTTTCTAGTATTATTTGGATGCGTTGGTTGGTAGTTTATTTAATTGTCTTTTTGAAAATTAAACACTATGGTTTATTCCATTGCGGAAAGGGTAGATATCATTTCGCTTTACTTTATGAACAATAAATGTGCGAATAGAACAGCTCAGCTATTTAATGAACAACATCAAGATCGACATGTCAGGAGGAAGTATGTTCTAGAGTTAGTAAAAAAATTTCAAGAGACAGGGAACGTAGCCAATAAAAAACGAGAAATTGAAAAACCTATAGTTAATGAAGCTAGTGAAGTTGCAGTTTTGGGACAAGTTCATCTTGATCCTACATTAAGTACGAGGCAGCTGGCATCTGTGTCTGGGATCAATCGAACTAGCATACAAACCATTTTGAAGAAGAATAAATTCCATCCATACAAAATACATTTAGTCCAGGAACTTCATGAGGATGATTATGACCGCCGTTTGCAATTTTGCGAAATAATGAGTGAGCGAGCAGGGAACGATCCACAGTTCCTTTTTAACATCTGTTTTTCTGATGAATGCAGTTTTTTCTTGAACGGGACGGTAAATCGTCACAATTGCCGCTATTGGTCCGATTCAAACCCAAGAGTTTTTCACGAGGTGCATACACAGCAACCGGAAAAATTAAATGTATGGGCTGGAATTTTCGGTGACCGGCTGGTGGGTCCTTTTTTTCTACCTGGTAATTTGACTGGCCAAATGTATTTGCAATTACTGGAAGACGCTATTGATCCTGCCTTGACTGATATTATTGAAAATGTTCCAGAGTATGATGAAGATAATTTGATTCTTCAACAGGACGGTGCTCCTCCGCATTATGCGTTAATTGTCCGTCAGTATTTGGACCAACGTTATCTACGGAATTGGATTGGGAGAAGACGCAGCATTGAGTGGCCTCCGCGATCACCGGACTTATCGCCCCTTGATTTCTTTTTGTGGGGATACCTAAAAAGTAAAATCTATAAAACACAGCCAGCGTCGCTGGAAGATTTGCGTCAAAGAATCGTCGATGAATACCGTCGAATCACTCCGGAAATGCTCCGGAATGTGCGCGAACGTTTCGAACAAAATCTTTATTCTTGTATGGAAGCAGACGGTCATCAGCTTGAACATTTAATCGACTAAGTAGTATGTATGCAGGTAAACATAATTTAAATTTTGAAATGTAAATTTTTTTCAAAGTATTGGGCGGAATTATAAAATTTAAAGTCTGTTGGAAAGAGAATTCTAAGAGCTTTCAAAAGAAATATTACTCTACCCTCAATGCCATTTAAATATTTTGGACTGATGCTCACACTCGCTTGGGGGTGAAAGTGGCGGTGTCAAAAATACCAGCAAAAAATGTCTCCCTTTAATGTAAAATCGACGGATCTGAGCGTTTTTCTACAATCTTGACGCAGTTCCTGAAAATGGCTGTATTTCGTTTTCATTTGGCCACCCGTATATTTTTATTTTGCCGACTAAAAACAGAAATAGTAGCTTTCTCTCACTCTCTTCTTCCTGCATTAAAATGAATATTATTTCATTTTCGAATTGTAGAAAGAACTCATTTTATTGTCCTGGACGCATCTATACTAAATAAACCAAACTGACTGTATTTATTCGTCCGTGTATGGCTAATTTCAAAAGTATTCGAATAATCTCTGTTCTAAGTATCTTAAAGATTCTACTCTTTCAAAATTCATTGTAATATGATCAATGTCTAAATCACTACACTAAGTAATTTTTTGTTGTTTCAGTGTCTTTATGTTCCCTGGATAACTATGGATTAGCGACAATTAAATCGAAAGCAGAAAAAGAGAAAGATGATGCTCCAAAGGACAGGTTCTTCTACGTGCACATATTATTTTTGATAATGGGACTAATGCACATGATACCTTATTCGTTTTTTATAACTGCCAATGCTGTAAGTATTTTGTGACTGATACGAAGAGATACTCTAACCTTTTTTGCAGTACTGGATGTACAAGTTCAGAGATGTCAATGCAAATTTAACGGACGCATCCGCCAGGACGCTGCTCCAAACCCATTTTTCTCCTGCCAACAGTATAATGCACGCTATAGTTTCCCCAGCTACTATGCTGATGTCCACTTTTTTCGGGTTCAAAATCAAGGCTAGAGTTAGGGGGCTGATGTCGTTGAGTGTTATGTCCTTTAATTTTATCGCTGCCACTGCTTTCGTCAAGATCGATACGGATTCCTGTAAGTATATAGAGATTATATTACCTAGCTTTTACAAAACGTTTTAAATTATTCCATAATTAAGAGACTTAGATACGGAAAAGCAACCTGTGACACAAAACCAGTTCCTGAGGGAATCTGAGGTTAACTCAAGTTACAGAGACTTACTTGTCCTAATGCATTAATCCAACCTATGTACATATAGTCTAGGAGCCAGATAGGGTTCCGTGGCCAATCAAAATGCCACGACCGCAAACAACTTAGTCGTAAGTATTTTGACCTCCTGAATCCAAAAAACTTGGTCGTAAAATCTGAAAGTGGTCAGTTTAATTGTTATTAACAAATTAAATGTTTAAATGGCTGTAAAAAGTTTATTTATTTTAGCTAGTACAATTTTTTATGCGTTAATAGATACGTTTTCTCATAACAAACATATACGTTTTTGAAAATTAAAAAAATATTAATTTGAACCAAAGTTATTGCAAATTTAGTGCAAATATCTTACATTTTTCGTGTCCGCACGCACTAATTTTATCATATATCTGGTTCTATTGGACGGATTGACACCCACGACATCTTATTTTAAAGCTTGAATTTTATTTTACAAGATCGATAAGTTCCATTTATTAATTTATTTATTTAACAATTATTGGCCGCTTAGAAAGTTGTGAAATTTCAACGAAAATGCTGGTTTTATTTGTTTATAAAGCTTTTTTTATTATTTAACTTCGATGAAAAGCCAAAAAAGTTACCGGATATTGTTCCTCGCATCTTAACAATCATTTCATACCTTATAGTTATTAGTTTTTCTTTATCAAAACCCATCGAAAACTCAGTGCAAGAGCGCGACCGGTCATAAACTTTTATTATTAAGAAGTCACAAAGACTAAGGAATAAAAAAGCATTAGCAGTTGGTTTAATTACTGAAATTTATAAGATTTATATAAATAATAACAACAATTGTTTAGATTTTAATTAATTTATTTCTTTTTTAATAATGGGCTCATCATAGACATTTTTGCAGGTGCTTTGCCTTTGGCAATAGTAAAATGAGCAACCACACAAACACATGATCTTGTAGAGCATACTTTACAATGTGTAATTAGTGATGAGTTCATCTGGTGGAGGAAGCAATATATGTATTTTTTTTTGAGCAAGTGTATCTCCATCATCTATCCAGCCGAACATGTGTAGGTCTTACTTTGCAGCGTGGTTATTTAAACAGTTTACCTGATTGTAAACTATACATATTATACACCTTAAAATGTGCAGTTGTATTGACCCACTTGTAGGGGGGGTAGATCTTCTATTAAAGCGGATTTTGAATGGTGATAAGACCATACTCGTAGGTCAATAAATTTTTTACAGGTTGTACCTTTCTTTACGACTTTAACTAAATATTATTCTGCCATTTTAATATTTGCTTCGATAGTGGTTTCTGAATAATCTATAAAATGAAACATCACATTTTTAAATATTTAAACTACCGGTTCCGGTTATATGATTAATTTTATTAATGCCCTGACAATGAAATTTACTGTGAACTACATTTTACCTATTCCAAAATGTATCAAATAAGGCATGAAATGATTGTTAGGATGCGAGGAACAATATCCGGTAACTCTTTTGGCTTTTCATCGAAGTTGAATAATAAAAAATCTTATAAACAAATAAAACCAGCATATTCGTTGAAATTTCACAACTTTCTAAGCTGCAATTAATTATTAAATAAATAAATAAATTAATGGAACTTACCTATCTTTTAAAATGAAGTTCAAGCTTTCAAATTAGATGTCGTGCGTCTCAATCCGTCCAATAGAACCAGAGATATAGTAAAACTGGTGCGCGCGGAGACGGAAAATGTAAGACATTTGCACTAAATTTGCAATAACTTTGGTTAAAGTTAATATTTTTTTAATTTTCAAAAACATATATGTTGATTATGAGAAAACGTATCTATTAACGCATAAAAAATTGTACTAGCTAAAAAAATAAACTTTTTACAGCCATTTAAACATTTAATTTGTTAATAACAATTAAATTGACCACTTTCAGGTTTTGCGACCAAGTTTTTTGGATTCAGGAGATCAAAATACTTAAGAATAAGTTGTTTGCAGCCGTGGCACTCTGATTGGCCACGGAACCCTATCTGGCTCCTAGACTAATACGACTGTGAGATTATCTGCATGTTTAGTTCGTATTAAATGAACACGATGGCGGCATTCACTTCTGGGAAGTAGTTGATGATGATTTAAAGCCCAATTTGGAATTTCCACCACATCTAACATGACATTCAAAGAATTTTCTTCATTTGTACTGCTTACTGCCCTTCCACTTTTTCGTCGATCTGCAATACCTCCAATTTCACGAAAAAACTACAATGTTTTTGAAACGATTGATTTAGAAATATGTACGTTCCCGATCGAGATGAAATTCATGAAAAATATTAACTATTTCGTCACCACTTCATCTTCTATCACCATATCCTATGATCATTAAAACTTCATTTCGCTCGGTTTCACTTAAACGTGCCATTTCTATCGCCATTCTTTAAATACTTCCTCGTATAAAAATTTTTGTGATATAAATAAAGGCATTTTTATTATTATTTCTGCAAGAAAATTATTCACACTAAATACAGTTTTGACATATTGTCAAGATAATCACTATTAGACAATAGAACGACGCGGCATTGTTATGGATTTAGAACCTTTCAAAGGTATCTTGATGGACTATAAAATTTAATGCACAAATATTTTTGTATAATTTATTTGAAAATGATTTTCAATGTTTGATATCTCGAAAACGATCAAGTTAAGTAACTATATGAATTTTGTTGAGAATTTCGAGAAGGGTTGAAATATGTATTAACATACAGGGTGTTCCATTAAAGAAAAAGCAACTTTGTTTCATTATGAATTTTTACTGGCCCTGTTTACTTAATTTTTCTTTATTTAAAAAAACCCTAAATCGTTTGTGTTTTATGATTTTTCGATAGTTGTCTTATTTAGGAAATAATCGACAGTTTCCATACATATCAGCAACTCTGTATTTGGTGAATTAAACGCGTTGCATTAATAATAGTTTTTTGTAATAAAATCTGAAATTTTAATTCACTTGAACTTGAACGTTTCAAATTAGGTTAAAAAATCTCACGCGCGACGAGGGCGGCGTTCACGCGCGTGCGCGGGCCTGGCGCTCCTTCTCCCGAGTAACGTTAACTGTTACTGCTGCTAACGTGTTTATTACATGAACTATCAATGTAAAACTTTTTGGAAATAAAAGTTTAAACCTTTCTTTGTCTCTAAAATCTCGGTCCGATGCGTCCAATAGTTAATTAACAATTAACATTATATAAAAAAAGTTATCTTGCATGGGAACAGAAAGGTGTAGGTGATTTCTTTCTTTTTTTAAATTACCGTCAAAATAAGCTCTATTTGATGCAAAAAGGGTGAATTCCCGAGCGGCTCTTGACTGACCTTGAAATCGTCTATTCCATAAATTTTATTAACATCCATGGTTTTTTGCAATAATAATGTGCAATTTTCGAAAATTGATTTTTCCGTATTCGACCTTTATTTTACAGTAAACAACTAGGTGAAAAGTTACTTCAGGTACTTTAAATTGTAGGTAATTAATTGTCTACAACATAAAACAATTAATTTTCTGATATGTCTTCTAGATTTTTATGGATAGTAGAAAAGTGAAAAAACACGTACTTTTATAACTTATTTGCAATTTGCCAACTTACTGTCACTTTTTTCATTGTTTCATGTCTGCATTGTTTGAGGTCACATTGAAAAAATAAGAACACTTTCTCATGGCAACTTTTTGCCCTCTATCGAATGGCACAATCAATTTTTATATGTAACGTTTCGTTTTGCCAGGACCATCATCAACTTCAATTTTTTTAATACGACCCTGGAAATTTTATTACACATTTTTCAAGCCTTCATGACCCTCAATACTGTACTGCATCAGCTCGAACCAAATCTAGACATTTTGTCTCGCAAAATTCTTCTTCAATGTATTCGTTCCAAAATCTAAATTTTTTATTTAAATTTCTGTTTATAGAATTATCGGATACTCTAAGTGTCGTTAGACCCTGTGAAATATAAAATCTAATTTGCGAACTCGTATTCATACTTGTACTATTTGCACTATTTCAGTTTGAAGAAAAGATCTGGAATCCACTCTTATTAATTCTCTACTCAAAATAGGGGTTGTTAGTTGTATAGAGTGTTACTGTTACACTTTCACTCAATGGGATTTAGGGGGGAATTTAGAAAGTACCAGAGCTTTCAAGGAATGGTTACATAGCAAAATTTGAAACACATTATCCATTACTAAATTGACTCCGATACTCTAAAGTTAAACAAACTGTCCAGTGCGGGACCCAAAGAGAAACTGCTTTTTTCCACTGATTCCGACACCTCGCTTTGACTCCGCCAATTGCGGTTCAGAAGTTTTGTCTTCGCCTTTCTTGCCTTGTCGGTGTGACCTCCTCTCTAAATCTCGGGTACGCTTTAGGAAAAATTTTACTATATCATGTTAGTAGAGGATCAAAGCAAGTGAGAGGAAAGGTTTAATACCCTGGAAAGGTGGAGCCTAGTATGGTTTACAGATGGCTCCAAAATGACCAGAGGGACAGGTGCAGGAATATATGGACTCAGACCCAGATGGAGTGCAAGCTACAGTCTGGGGGAGTTCCCTACTTTATTCCAAGCAGAAATCTTCGCGATAATGGCGTGTCTGGCAGAGAATGTACGTAGAGGTTATAGACGTAAACTCATATATATATTCTCTGATAGTCAAGCTGCAATTAAAGCTTTAGCCGCACACAAGGTAAGTTCAAAACTGGTGTGGGACTGTTTACAAATGCTGACTGAACTGACCACCAACAATACAGTCAGACTGTGTTGGGTGCCAGGGCACAAAGGCATTTGTGGAAATGAGAAAGCGGATGAACTTGCTAGGAAGGGATCCGAGACAGTGTTCATTGGCCCGGAGCCCTTCTGTGGCACATCTCCCAGTGTGGTCAGGCGGGCTCTGGGCAAATGGACAGAGATAGAACAGAGGAAATACTGGACTTCAAGGCCAGGCCATAGCCATTCTAAGGAGCTTATGGAGTATCCTTCGAAGGGAAGAGCGAATGAGCTACTGAGCTTGAATAGAATTCGGCTCAGGAGAGTGACAGGACTCATAACGGGACACTGTCACTTTAGGAAACATCTACATAAACTAAAGCTTGCAGACAGTCCGATCTGCCGAGGATGTGAATCGGCGGATGAAACTTCTCTGCATATCCTGGGCGAGTGCCCGGGATTTGCACGTAGCATAATGGCGCTCCTTGGGAGACCCTATTTGGAACCCAAGGAACTGAGAGAAGTGTCAGCAAGGAAGTTTTTGGACTTTGTAAAAAGGACAAATCTACTTGCTGAATAGGACTAGTAGTGGGACGCACAATAGGCCTAATTAGGCCACAGTGCTATGGGACTTTTAAAGGACCAACCACTAGATGAAGATGAAGATGAAGATATCATCAATTACCTAATAGCCTGAAATATTAATTTAACCTTATTATTATACTTTCCTCTCGTGACCCCGTATAGCAACATGAGGGCGGATTAGTTAGCTACGTATTAATTTATTTTTTGTAACTGGGAAAAGCCAGCTTTTTGGCCTATTGTTCTTTTCCTTAAAACGGAACGATTTATTATTATCAAATATTCATTTTTTCCCTCCTGTCGAGCTAGCTTGGCGTCCGATAGGCGCAACAGTTGAGGGTCACATGGCGATAACATTTCGAAGAAGTTAACTTGTGTAAAGTGCTTTTGGCATTTCATGGTCTTGTACTAATTACCGGTTTTGTGAATTTATTAGTTTTCGCGACAAAAGCTTTTTCAGACGACCCTCTTAATGACTACTTTGCGACCTTACCAATTGTCTGTCAATAATTGGGCCCCACCGATTCCTAAAACTGACTCGTAAATTTAGTTGTACCGCGTTTTGGCTTTTATTACAATATACTTACAGGTATTTCTTCTTTTTTAGGGCAGGTGACGTTTTTCGTCATAATAATGGCCTTTTTGGGAATGATAACCAGTAAGTAACGTCTTACCTCGTCATTTATGAATTTGACCTGTAAACTATTCAAGTGTATCTAATTAAACCGACAATTTTTATATTTCAGTTGCAAATTCGGCGATTTCAGCAGCAAACTTGGCCATAATATCAAAGTTCCCCCCGTACTATATGAAGGTCTACTTATTCGGTGAAGGTCTGGCGGGTCTCTGTAGCGCCACTTTGCAGATCTTGTCTTTAGCCATGGGAACTTCTACCGAGGTATCAGCTCTGTTCTACTTCATCGCTGGATCAAGTCTTATGGTCCTGACACTAGTTTTATTTTACTTTAGTAAATATAACAAGTTATTCAACCACTACGTCAATAGCGTGGTAGAAGATGTTAACAGGGATGTATTGCGTCTTTCTGAGATTAAAGATTTGGCAAAGCAGATCTGGGCCCAAATAGTAGCATCTCTTTTGATGATGTTAACAATGTCTCCAGTGACGCCCAACATAACTACTTTGGTCGTTTCAGAAAACTATGGTAGTGGTAGTGAATGGTCAGGTAAATTTTTTGACGGTTTTAGTTGAAGTTGTAATAATAATATTGTTTTTGTTAAAACAGAGCTTAAAACCTATTGAATTTTTGAAATGAAAATGAAGAAGACGTACTCTATTAATTTTTATCAGCTACTTATAACGTACAATGTTGTTTTAGATAAATATTTCGTACCAGTAATAACATTTCTGTATTCGGATGTGATCGGTCTCTTCGGACGGATAGCAAGTGCAAAATATAACAAGGTAAAAATATTCAAATTAATTATCAGAATATCTATTTACCCAGGGTGTTAACAAACTTGGGGGAATATTTGAAGGGAAAATAAATCAAGATGCAAATACTCCGTGGGTGGAAATATTTTTAGCAAATTGAATAACTGCTTTGAATACCTTCTTACTTACCAGACGACAGGATAATAACTTTTTTGGAACCGCTGATTTTATCCACAGCTCTGTCTCTGTTTTATTGCATGCCTATTTAGAAATCGTTGCATATAAAAATGTGAAGTTAATTCATAATTTTTATCAGTATTTAGGTATATTTTCACCATGTTCATTAATTCATTGTCACTGTAATTAAGGCCTACCGAGACATTTTTTCGGGCTACAATTTAAAAAAATCATATCAGCAACTTTTTTTATATAAAATCTGAACACATCTTTGTACGCAGCAACTTCTTAATTCAAAGAATTTTTAAAAATTTTTGCTGTTAAATATAATCAAATTTAATTAAAATATTATGTGTTTATTAAAGTGAGTTAAATAATAAACTTCAAAAATACATAACAATGTTAATTCTAATATAAAAAAATGCGTCAATCACAGAATGATCGATCGATACCTATACAAGCGTGACCTATGTCTTTTTGAAAGAAAAGATTTGAAATTTCAATTTAAACATTTATTTCCAAGAAAATAATGTGATTTTTATTTTATTTTCATCAATGTAAGTTTCTTTACGATGGTGTAGTGACAAAACTATTGGCCAACAATCCTTAAGTAAATTTTAGGATGCAATTTTGTTTTCATCGAGGTTGACAACTAGGTATTTCTGGATTTCTATCATTTACCCTTAACTATATTCAACGGTAAAGCCGTATTTCCGATAATTTTATTCTCCATCTATTTAGTCGAGAATTTATATTCTCGTTTAATTCTCCTTAGTGCTGTGTCGTTTAACTTGCTCGCATTACCGATGTAAATCATATCCGTCGTGATTTTGAGATTGGCCTGGGTACTAGAGATATATTTGAGGCATTGATAGTTAGTATAAATACTTATTCAAATTGGAATACTGCAATATTGACGGATTCATCAATGATTCTTTGTGATTCAAAGCATTTAATGATCTTAGGTGTATGTTTAGGAATTTAACATTTTTCTTATGTTGTTTGGGGCATAGGTTTCGTCAATTTCGCCATGCTCGAGATAAACTTTCGGTGTTAAATCGAGAAATGATTTCACGTCGTTTAGATTTTTTATCAATCATTTCGGGGGTAGGTCTTATAACTTGAAGTGTAATGACATGATCTAAATAAGTTTCCTTCTAATTCTCACTTATCCGATTGATTGTCAGTTGTACTCGAATACCTGAAGGCTGGTGTCGATATTGATAATAGCATCAATATATACCATGCAAATCTTATTAGCTAATCCTCTCAGAACATTATCCATAACTCTCTGGAAAGTGGAAAGTACTCCTTCTAATCCGAAGGGCATTCGTGTAAATTCACGGTGTATTTGAATTTGGTGGAAACCTGAATTTAAATCCAAATTGGTAAAATTCATTCATTCATGAAATGATTATTATTGATAGTCATTTGCAACAGTTTCATTTCCCTGATGGTCAGCTTTTTTGGGATAATCCAAACGGAACTTGAATAAACTTATACTGAAGGTTGCCTTGACTAAATATTTTTTCTGTATTGTATATGAAGATATCTATAACTTTTAGTGTAGACTGATTTCACATGCTTGCGCATTTCAGGGACATTCCAAAATTCTACTGTACGGTTTCAATTCGCTGTCACTGGGCAGTGTCCCAGTGGACTGATAGCTTTAGGTCTGGCAATCATAGGAACGAACAAAAATTTAGATTTTTTAAAATTTTTGGGTGCTATCCTGACTGCGCCAGCCATGTTTTTTGGTCGTAGCACTGTTTTTTGAAAGTCAAAATTTTAAATTTAGATTTAAACATTTATTTCTTTTTAAAGATAACAATGTGAAGAAAATGATCTGTACTAAATAAAAGAAGTGTTTATTACTTTTTGCATCATCCTTTAACTGTGGCAAGTCAGCATTTTTGCGTGTACAGTGTTGTACTATAACTGGTTTATCAATAACAGTTCTTGTTTCTCAAACTACATATCATAAATGGTGTAGGTATACGTCCCAGGTAACGGAAAGGAAATGGAAAGACTACGGAAAAATTTATAGATCGGCCTGAAATAACATGCAACTACCAATAATGGTATTATTAAATTTTCCAAATTTTCATCAAACTGTCGTATGGGAAATTTATAGGCATGCACTGTTATTATTATCGGTCATATTAAAAATGCATTAATAATAGATATTATTAGAATTCATTTTATTTGTTGTAAATCTGGTGTTCGGAAATCTAATAATAATATATTTGCCACTTTCTCTACTGAAATAATTAACTTTTATACAGTATAACTTTATTTTCTCTCAATGTTTAATATTTATTTAGTTCTGTTTGTTACTTTTAGATCATCGGTGGAGTACCATTCTGTTTGTTCATGTTCGTGAGGATGGTCATTTTCGTACCACTAATATACTTTTGTAATGCCCAACCTAGAAATTATCTTCCAGTGCTTTTTCCTCACGATTGGCAATACGTCTTAATATTGTTCTTTTACCAATTCACCGGCTCGTTTGCATTTAATTTACTATTCTTGGATGTAGGAAAGTAAGTAACTTAATTTTGTGCTTGTGGATGTAAAAACTTATTATGAAGAGTTGTTTCTTAAGAACATCGAATAAGTACACTATACAACAATTGTAACATGCTAAGTAAGACTGTTTTCTATTTCATTAAAAACAACTGCACCTCTACCAAAGTTTCTAATAACATTAACCACAAATTCTAAATTATCTCGTAAACGGCTCGTTTGCGGATCTATATTTAAGAAGACTTTTTTGCTTCTAGTATCGTAATTGCAGCTGTTTCAGTTTGCGCTTTAATTGTGGTACACCCTATACAATAAATAGTGTGTATTATAAACTTCTACCTCATATTTTTAGGATGAAGTGACAAAATAAAATAAAACTAAATATGAATTAATTTATGTAAACAAATAATAGTATTATCTGATTTAAAACGTTTCTTTTTTAGAGTGGTTGGACCCAAAAAGGCTGAAGATGCATATTTGGTAATGATGTCAATTATGTCACTGTCGACTGTTCTTTTACTGCCTGTTGGAATGTTTTCAGTAGATTTACTATAATTAATGTAAACCCAAATATACAATTTTCTCCAAATATAAGCGTATGTTGCGAAATTACAAAAATTTTAATGGAAAGAAGACAATTTGTGACAAATAATTTTACAGGAGATTTTTTGATGTACTTATATTTTGTTACGTTTTAAATTTTATTCCAAGATAACATTCTGTTCACTGTACTTTTATTGTAAATATTTTTGTTAGTTAACGAATAGGTAAAATATTTGAGATCTGACTTTGAACTATCGTTGATCTTTATATTAAAGAATCCGATGTTACAAACTGATTGCTAGATGTGCTTCTCGCAGTTATAAATAAATGTTTTAATAAATATTTTAGAATTTTGTTTTTGGCTTTCCTTTCCCTTTTAGTAAATTACGTATGTATTTGTATAGTCTTTTCGAAGTTAGTTGAACATGTATAAAAAAGCCTAGCAATAAAATTTAATGAGTTTCATAAACCTCCCTCAAAAGTTTTCTGCTAAAGGTAAAAAATTATAAAATAGGTAATTTGTATATAATCTGTAGAAAATTTCTATTATATGTTCATTTGGCCAACAACATATTTTAATTATTTATGTCCTCAAACAATTTTATTATATTGATGGTAAATTTCGTTTTGTTCAGTTTCAAAATGTTTCCAAAATGTTGTAATGATATTAGTAAACAAAATATCCCTCTTATTTCTCCCTTTCGCAATTGTAATATGAATGATTAATAGAACGTGCCTATAATAAATTAAAATTACCTGAATCACACCAAATTCCGTGTTGCTGCATTGCACTGTCAGGCAATTTGTCAACCACTTGTCAACAACTGAGATTTATTGCCTAGTCGCCCAGTGCAGCTGAGTTATACACCGTTTGCCCGCGCACGCAGTCTTCAACTAGGCGTATACATTTCCACCACTTCCACATTTAGTTCGACCAGACCTGTATATGAGTATGACTAAATAAATATAGGAACAAGTTTTTCAAATATTTGCTGCGACAGCGTAAATAGAGTAAATAACAAAATTACAAACAAAACAATTACTTTAAAAAATTTATTAATATCTGCTCTGGCAATCCTGCAAGTGTCTTATGAAAAACGCGCAATAATTTTATTTTCAATACCAGTGACGTGGATATGGGTGTATTGAGGAATATAATTGAAGGAAAAATATGTTACGTCGAAATATGAGTATAACGATGTGGTGCATCGTGCATAAAGTATAGGTCTCTTATAGTATTCAAGGGCACATCTTCTAATAGATCTGGAAAAGTATGTACACCATTTAAACATGGCGATAGCTCAAATGGTCACCGATAATTCCAGCTCATACACTAATAACAAATTGGTGTTGGTCACTCCATTCATAATTGTGCAAATTTATTACACCATTTTCTGTAAAACACGACTCGTCAGTAAATAGGACTGTGCTGCAGAAGTCGTTCTGTTTATCCTGGGACTATGAACTGTTATCGTTATCAGGTGATAGAGCCGTAATTGTTGTTTCCTTAATGTTCTCTGGGCCGTAAACTTTGAAATACTGAATTCAGAATGAATTTTTCTTACACTTGCGTGTGGATTTTTTTTAACTGTATTTAAAACGGCCTCTTCCCCATCTACAGTCCTTACTGACCGTGGACGAGCGTTTTCCTTAATATAGTACTTTGCCAGATACTTACCTGGAAGTATTCAAAAGTTTGCCTCATCTATAAAAAAAGGAAATAAACAGGATATATCAAATTTTCACTCAATTTCTATTTTATGTAATTTCAGTAAAATCCGTAGTAAAATTTCAGTTTATCACCATGAATTTAAGAAGGGTAGTTCAACAACTTCTAACCTTATAACAGTCACATAGATCGTAGCTGAATCCATTGATAAACACTTGCAAACAGATGTTATTTACAGAGACTTTTCGAAGGCATTTGACAGACTTTGGCCATGAAATATTACTATTAAAGCTTAACAAATTTGGTCTCTCGAATTCCCTATTAAAATTATTTGAATCTTATTTTGTTTGTCAAATAGATTTCAGTATATCGTTCTTAAAGCGTGTAAGTCTGTGGATTACTTAACTACGTCTGAATTCCCTCAGGGATCTGTTCTTGAGCCCCTACTCTTCAACATTTTTACCACTGATTGAAATGAACTGCTTAGATATTGGTTACCTTCTCTATGCTGATGACCTGAAAATCTCCTCAACCGACGAATAGATACGAATAATTTGATTCAAATTGATGTGTTTTTCATAGAACATGCTTGAGACTGAAATTTCTTTTCTGAAGCTCTCCATACTATTTGAATATGGCTAACTGTTGTCCTAGCACTTGAAACATATCCTGTAAGTATTGATGAATACTCAAATTGGAAAAATAAAAAATGCATGATTTTTATAGTTTAGGGTAAGACAAACAAAATTTTATCGATTTTAGCCCAACCGAATTTATCCTCCACTATCTACTGCCCTACATACCCCCCAATAACCGACCCACATCCAACTATGAAGACTGATAGTAATGGCAGAAAAATTACTTTTTACACATTCCTAGAGCCAGACAAGGAATATTCACTTGTTTTGGGCTAATCGGATCCAACCCACCTTCCCCTACTCATGTCCAACTATTATGATAAGCAGTGATGTCACAAAAATGCTTTTTACACATTTCTGGATCAGACAAGAAATATTCAGTTGATTTTGGCCCAAACGGACCCTCTTGAGGTTCCCTGTCTGAGCTTCAGTATTAATATCCCTGTCCCTATAGCTTTATCTCGTAATGAATGCGTAATGTCATTTACCTCAATATGGAAACCTATAGATGGCGTTATTTCAAAGGAATGCCGTTTTATGGATTTTTTTCAAAAATTTTAAATGCAATGCTATAGTTTTCTTTACATAATGAATTCAGCACAAAAAATTGATGAATATAGCATAAGTTTAAGATTTCTAAAAGTTGTTGTTTAAATGTTATAGCCTATTTAGTTATTTATTTGGAAAATTTGGAATTTTATATCAAATTCTAGAAAAGATTTTGGCATATCCAACTCTATGCATTTCAATGATGTTTATGCTTATAATGGTCCAGATGTATGTAACCTTTTCTCATATTACTTTCAAAGTGTTTATGAACCATATGTACAAAAACCACTCCAAATATTTAATTGCACAAATATGATATGGAGGTAATAGTATTTCTTTAGTAGGTACAAATAACAGAGTAGGGTCAGTTGGGGTAATCGTGAACAGGGGTAATTATAAACAAGCTTCATAACTTTTGAATTTGGCGGGTAGCAACGACGTACAACGGCATCCGTGACATGTGGATTTATGTTTTGTTATAGTACAGCAATAACGATTTCATTGTGTTGGTTTTCTGCTTGTGGCAGTTATTTTTCGGAGATATGACTCAAAAGTTTGTTAAGCAGAATTTGCTTTTGCTTTTTAAATGTGCATAAATCAGATTTTGATAAAGATAATGCAATTTATTTATATAGTAGCATTCATTATTGAATGAACAATGTGAAACCACGTTACTTTTTTAGGTTAGGCTTCACAAATTCATAGTAGATGTGTGTTTACAATTGCCCCGTTAAAAAAATTTAAAACGGGGTAATTGTAAAAACATTTAAGGGGTAATTGTAAACGCGTTTCTATATACTCTCAGAAACACAATGGTGCGAAATTATCAGAAGAAACGACCGAACATTGAAAGATACAGCGAATTGGATCTTATTAATGCTGTTAATGATGTACAGAATATCAATAAAACAGGACAGACAGGGAGACGGACAATATTCCTATTGCCGTTATATATCAAAGGATTAAACGAAGAAAAAATACCATGAAGCCTATGAATTTGCAGGACGCCGTCTTGCAATCCCAATAGATGCAGAAACGACCTTGCGAAATGCAGAAACGACCTTGCGAAATGCAGAAACGACCTTGCGAATTGCCTTATAGCTGGAGCTAGAATAGGCTAGAATTTAGAATTTATAGAACAATAAATAGTTAGTTTACATTTGCCCCAATATTTCTATAATTTTTTTTTCCTGGGTAATTATAAACACCCTTTTTTTTCGGTAACGGTTAACAATGTTAAGTTGCATGTTTAAGGCATTCTAGAAGGTGTTCCAGAGAATGTCCAATATTAAGGTTATCTTTACAACTGTTACACTTCAAATTTTAGACTTTATCGAAGTTGATTTTATTATAATCGTTTACAATTACCCCAACTGACCCTATTTGATATCAGATAAATTGGTTCATATCGATTGATGGCTTACCTGCTTATTTTTAAAAAAAACTGTGCTCCAGCTTTGTATGTACCTCTGTCATTAATATTTAATAAATCTCTTAACTTAGGTGAATTTCCAACTTTATGGAAACAAGCTTATTTTATTCCTATATATAAAAATTCAGGAGATAAAAATTGCGTTAATAATTATAGAGGTATAAGTAAATTGTGTGTATTTAGTAAATTATTTGAATCGATTATATACGATAGTCTTTTGACGCCTTGTATACGGACTTTAGTAAAGCCTTTTGATAAAATTGATCACAATATTTTGATAGCTAAATTGGCGAAAATCGGTATACACGGTGATCTACTGCGTTGGTTTTGGTCATTAGTGTGAGAAAGTAAAATAACTCCCTTGTTACTCATAATATGGAGAAAAAGTTTATATAAAAGTAAGCCCACCCTATGTATAATAGATCTCAAATAGTTGTGGTTAGTGGTTTCAAATCTGATCCAATATTTATAACTTCTGGTGTGCCAGAAGGTTCACATTTATGTCCGTTTCTGTTTCTTATATATATTAACGATATTGGTAATTCTATTCATTATTGTAGGTTCCTTTTATATGAAGATGACCTAAAATTATTTCGAATTATCAAATCTATTGATGATTGCAAGCTAATTCAAACTGACATGAATAGTATTGTTCGGTACTGCACAAATAATAAATTAACTTTAAACATGTTACTATATTAGTTTCACGAAAAATTATAATGTTTTTGATGCTAATTATAAATAACCAAATAGTGCATAGGGTTACCGTTGTAAAAGATTTAGGAGTGTTCTTTGATTGTAAGATGAGTTTTGGTCCTCATATAGATCATATTTACAACAAGTGCAATACACTGTTAGGTTTTATAATAAGAATATGTAATGACTTTGGGCATGAAAAGTCAATGAAATCCTTGTATTATGCTTATATTTACAGTAGATTAAATTTTACGAGTGTTATCTGGAACCCCACTTATCATATATTATTATATAAAATCATGTGTGTGTGTGTGTGTGTGCGCGCGCGCGTGTGTGTGTGGGTGCGTGCGCGTGTGTGTGTGTGTGTGCGC